AGCAAAACAAAACAAAAAAAAACTCTAATTTGTAGCATTTGCCAATATCCTTGGTGTAAATATTCCCATTGTGCTAGATTTCAAACTACCAACATAGTATTAACCAGCTCACAAAATTCCTGAAATTTTTATGCTCATCAGGTACAAGCACACCACTGAATGTATACCTTGCACTTGGTAATAATTTAAGTTTACAATGCTCCTTCATATTTATAACACTCTAGATGATTCGGTGGTATTCTCCCAGCTCATAGGTGAGGGAAAAGACAGCACCCCAAATCACACAGCACATGTGGCAGAGCTGAAGTGCTCACATGAGAGCCCCCACCCCAACCCTACCACAGTTTGCAGCATCAGGTGTATAAGTGTCTGTATCTACATCCTATAATATCCCTCGGCCTACCTATCAGCTAAAGGGCTCTAGTTTGGTTAGGAACCAATAACAAAGACCCATTCCTATAAACTCAGTCAAAGTTACCTAATAATTATTCTATAAGGTATATTCTTCTATGACAGTAGTAGTACATGGTTATTGTTACAGCTTAGAATACAGATTAGTACAAAAAAAGAAAAATCACCCTTAATCTCATCCTCAAGAGATAACAACTGTTTGAATGTGGGTAATAATCTTTTCAGAATATTAGACACACAGGGTGGGGCAAAAGTAGGTTTACAGCTTTGAGTACGTGAAACAGAGTTTATTCTTGAACTATCATTTACTAATTATTTTATTATTTTCCATGCAAACAACTGTAAACATACTTTTGCCCCACCCTGTATATTTTTTAAGAAGTCATGCTATTTTGCAATATAAAGACATTTTTCTTTATTATGTAAATTTCCCAAAACATAGAGAAATAGGTTGAAGGTTGGTATAATGAGCTCTGCTGTGGCCATCACCCAGCTTCAGAAATTATCTACAGACATTTAAAAGTCAGTGTTTCCACTTCCCTTCTCAGGGAGGAATGTGTAGGAGGCAGGCCTCTCCCTCTGGCTTTCCCCTCAGACTTCAGGCTGAGTCAGCCAGCTCCTTGCAGCGCCGCTGGGAGAACACTACTGAAGAGAACTCTTCATCATGCCACTCTTCTCATGGGTCCCTCCAACTTCTCCAATTCCTTTCTCGTCTGTCAAGAAGCCTCAGAAGTAGGGTTCAGAGCTCATTACATACATCACAATTCTTGGAGTTTCCATCTTCTACTAGCTCCATTCTTCCATGTCTGCTTTGCCCTCATGTCTAGGTGCACGCACCCCATGGGAAACCCTGCTAACTGGTTTAACTAAAATCCTAGGACTGTGTTCATCCTCATCTTGCCCTACTTAGTACCCAGCCAACCCAGCAACTTCCAGACCTCACTTCCTGGCACTGCATCGCCACAGGCACCAGACCAAGTGAAATACCGAAAGACTGAAGGATAGTGGCTGCACCCCAAATTAACATCTTTGCATGAGTCCCCAAAGTGCCCAGTTGAGACCCACACCCAGAGTCAAAAATCTCTGCTGCCCAGACAAGTTCAAAGAATAGCCTCATGGGACAAAACAAGAACTGCTCCCCAGGGCCCCAGTTTAGCCAAGTGCATGCAGGAGGGAGCTGTGGATATTTAAAGACTGAGGAATAGAATACTACTCTGCTATAAACCATGCACAGCTGACAGAAAACAAGACTATGCTGGGAACCACGATTAGAACAAAACTTCCAGGGGAAAGTAGCTAAACTCATTTGCACTATTTTGTACCAAAAGGTACTAACACTTGGAACAGTGTCTTTGTCTAAAGATTCTAACACATCAAAGAGTGGGGAGCAGGTCGGAATAAGGGAGAGTGGTCTACAAGTTCTCTACAAATAAGACATAAAGTAAAACAATGATAGTCAAACTTACACAATTAAAACTCACAGCTACAGTAATAAGAATACTTTCTACCAGGAGAGGTTTTCTCACACAAATGTAATGCTAATTTAGCACCACGTTCCTGAATTTCTCTGAAAAGCACCATTATACTAATTTACAAATGAGAAGTTATGCACCTTGCCCAAGGCCACACAACTGCAAAGAGGCTGAACCAGAATTCATGTCCAGGTCTGTACAAATGGGAAGTCCACACTTCCTCCATTAATCAGCATTTCCCACAAGGCAGGACACACAAAGATGGCCTTTTTTGTTGTTATTCTTAATCCTCACCAGCAGATATTTTTTCCATTGATTTTTAGAAAGAGAGGGAGGGGGAGAGAGGAAAAGAAGAGAAATGAGGAGGGAGAGGGAGAAAAAGAGAGAAATATCATGTGAGAAACACATCCATTGGCTGCCACCTGAACATGCCCCAACCTGGGGTGGGGATTGAACCCAGGCACATGCCCTAGACCAGGAATCGAACCAGCAACCATTTGGTGCACAAGCTGTGGTGCTCTAACCACTGAGTGCATTGGTCAGGGCAAACTTTTAAGTTCTAATATTATCGTCTTGTTTAAATCCCTATAGTCATGTGTGCATATGTAATATTAAGTAAATAAAAAATTTAAATTATAGACATGAAATAAATTTTACATTTTATGTGTATACATGAAACATAAAAAGTTTCTTAAAAGATAATTTAAAGGAAACATTAGGATAAAAGAACAGGTGATACAGAGATAGGGTATAAATTCTGAGACAATACATAAATCACTGAAGCTTGTAGAAAACACTGCTCACCAGACCACCACACCACCACCCAAGAACAGCCAAGCACCTGTTTGTTCCATACTGTACTCAAATTTGACTATAGTCACACATAACTCTGACTCTGCTCCAGGGAGATAAAATGTGGCTGCTTTGAGGGGAAGGGCACAACATCAGTACAACAATTTAGCACAAATCATCCTTAACACAGTATTGGTTGACATAAATACTGGTTTGGTGGTCCAACTCCTCTGCTTATCTACCACACACCTTGATTAAGTCCAGTCCCCTTTTCTGGGCTTCAGTTTCACTTTGTCAAAAGAAAGTTACCACAAAAGTAGACTCTAAGGTCACTTCCAGTTTTAGAATTTCATAAACTGTTGCAAGATCCTAAAATCCCAAATTATTTTTTCCAGAATCATAGAGGCCCCAATCCTAATTGAGTGTCGATCTGAGAAATAAATGGTCAGTCCATGTTTCCAGAGAGCAAAGTATTAACAGCACAATATATGATAAAGTCCTGTGGAGTACAACACACTCTCTAATGAATGGCATCCCAGGCCACCATACCTCAACTGGGAATGCTATCAATTATGCTGCCCTCTAGAAAGATGTAGCAAGACATGAATTACAGGATGACAAAGATCAGCCAATCAATGTACCTGTCCCAAACAAAACTCTAAAAATTTCCTGCCACTGCCCTAGCCAGTTTGGCTCAGTGGATAAAGCGTTAGCCCAAGCACCTAAGGGTCTTGGGTTCGATTCCTGGTCAAGGGCCACATTCAGGGCACTTGCAGAAGGCAATCAATAGATGTGTCTCTCTCACATTGATGTTTCTCTGTTTCTCCCCCTCCCTTCCACTCTCTCTGAAAATCAGAGGAATAATACCTGCGATGAGGATTAACAACAACAAAAAATTTCCTGCCGCTAATTTTTAAATTATTAATTTTCGTTACATTTGGTCCTTCATGTGTTGTTTCCAGTCCTTAACAATCAAGTTTATTCTGAGTCAAGGAGAATAAATGGGAAAGAAATCTTTAAAAATCTCAAACTTATATTAAGCCTCAGCTGAAAACTACCTGTAAAACTTTTCCAGTTCAATTTGAATTACTCCAAAGATGCTCAAACATATTTAGTGTGCTAAACCTCTAAAAGTTGTCACTCCTTATTTTTCAGAAACATTATTAACAGTTGGACCAGAACATTTTTTCTCTATTATTGAATTAGATACATTTATCAAAAGGGAAGTCTTAAGGGAACCCTCCTTGCCTTCTTTACAGCGCCCTTTCTGTGATGTCAGTAGGCCTGTAAACTTTTAAAATAGGGTCTTTAGATTCCAGAAAGAAGTTCTGAAATGCGCTCACTTCTTGTTTAGCTCAAGAAAATAGAAGATGGGTGGGCTGCAACTGACAAACTCAGAAAGCACAGCTGGGTAGCAGGTAATCTTAAAAAAAAAAAAAAGCAAATCCCTGAGCAAATTGTGTAGCCAATGTTGATCATTATAACTGGAGAGTTGTTACATAATTACTTGTTAACTACTGACAGACAATACATGGCTACGAAAAGCCATGGTTACTCTACCCATTGAAGACAGTGTAACCAGTGCACCAGTCAAGGTTTCTCCAATTAATTTCGGGACCTATTCCCTTCCAAGGTAACCCGACTGCTTTTACATATACAAAACAGACTCCAGGAATTAAGCCACTAGCCTCTACGGACGAAATCAGTGTTTCCGGTAATACTGATCTTTAAAGGGGAGACGAGATATAGAAAGAAGTAGGTTCAAAGAACTAAATACTTATCACCTCGATAAAAAAGACTTCATTCTAAACTGGAAATTTTGAACAGAAAAGCCCCCCCTCCACACACACACACACACACACACACACACAGAGGCATTCGCCTGGTCCCTGCTCAGCTGGCGCAAAACACAAGACCTTTATCGGATGCACCCCATTCCAACATTTTCCAAAAAGTTTACGAAGATTTACCGAAGCGGCGGGAAGAAAAATTAAGCATGCAGAAGCGGGGGAGAGCGAACTGGAGGATTATGGCAAAGAAGAACCCGATGAAGCGCCCAGCAATGACACGCAAGGCCCGCTAACCGAGTAGTGACCCTGCACTGCACCGGAGGAGCAAGCGCCCCAGTGGAGCGCGGGAACTGACAGCCGTTCGGTTTATGCTGCCGGAGGGGGGGGGGGGGCAGTCCCCAGCCCAGCCCCCGCCGCCAGTCCCCTCCACGACCCTTCCCCTGCAGCGCTGCCGTTGCCCGCTGGGCCAACTTGGCCCCGGGTCAGCGCTGCGGACCGCGGCCCCGGTTGCCCGGGAGGCCGCCGGCGCCCTTACCTCCTTCTGCTTGGGGTCCTGCGGGTAGACGTCCGGCGGCCCGAGCCGGGGGCGTTTCAGCGGTCTCTGCTCATAGCTGAGAAGCCCGAAGGCGGCCATGATCTCTCATGTTAACCGGCAAAATGAATGAGAGTTGGAGCTGGAGCTGGAGCAGCCGCCTCTGAGCACCAGGGAGCAGCACTTTGCAGACAGACTCCCTCTCTCCCCCTTCTCACTCGCTTGCTCGCTCGCTGTGGCGCTGCAGGAAGGAATAAAGCAGGTTGGATGCTGCCTCTGCCAGGCACGCAGACACGCACTGATGGGGGCAGCCTCCGGCCGGCACCCGGCTGCGCTGGAGCCCCAGGACGCACCGCTTTTGTGCCGGCGGAGGGGCTGCCTCCGGACGCCTCCCTACACACCCGGTCCCCAGGGGGAGGAGCAGCTGATGGGAACCTGCGACTTTTTTCCCCAAAGGACCCAAACCCACCCCAGTCGGACGCAGGGCAGGGCGTGGGGGAGGGGCCCCGGGAGGAAAAAAAAACTTTTCTCGGCGCCCTGGCGGGTGGCCCAAGTGTTTGCCCCAGGCAAGG